CCACCACTAAACCATGTCCCTGAGCACCTCATCTATCCTTCTTTTAAATATCTCCAGGGATGGGGACTCGACCACCTCCCTGGGCAGCCCATTCCAGAGCCTGACAACCCTTTCGGTGAAGAAGTTTTTCCTAATGTCTAGCCTAAACCTGCCCTGGTGCAACTTCAAACCATTCCCCCTCGTCCTATTGTCCGTTACCAGGGAGAAGAGGCCGACTCACACCTCGCTACAGCCTCTGAAAGGTAGTTGTAGAGGGTGATAAGGTCTCCCCTCAGCCTCCTCTTCTCCAGACTAAACAACCCCAGTTCCCTCAGCTGCTCCTTGTAAGACTTGTGCTCCAGACCCCTCACCAGTTTTGTCGCTCTCCTCTGGACATGCTCCAGCAATGCAACATCTTTCTTGTAGTGAGGGGCCCAAAACTGAACACAGTATTCAAGGTGTGGCCTCACCAACTGAATGGAAAAGAAAGGAAATTGCCTCCTAGATATGTACCCATTTAAGTTGTTTAAAATTAAAAAAAAAAAATACTCGAGTGTCTCTGATATTGCAGGAAGACAGGATGTGTAAGGCTTGTCAAAGTGAAGCTTAACTGAGGAATAGGAGAAATGGTCCAGTGGGTAGTCTGGGCCTCCAGAGACCTGAGTTCAGTTCTTCTTTAACTGTAGACTTCTTGTATGACTTTCTGGCAAGTCATTTAGTCTAGCTTGTGCCTTTGGGAGTATCTCATTTTACAGATGGGGAACTGTCTCAGAAGGGTGTTGAAAATAAAATCCATTAATGACTGTGAAACTATATAAATGCCTTCAATATGCTGAAACTTGGCCATGGCTTTAACATGGTTTTTTTCCTCTGAAAGTATGTCTGGTTTTATGGATGGTTGCCTTTTGTTCCCTGAAACAGGCTACTAATATGCTTTATTCATGCCTGGAGTTTTTCAAGATTTGTGCTGCTTTCCAGCAGTCATTGTACTAATCTCAATACATTGCCACATAAGGATTATTTTAGCAATATAGAAGTTGTTTAAAGTACCTTTACAATTAATCTTACTTGCACCTACTAAAACTCTGTATTTTAAGAAAAACTCACAACAATAGTGTGGGCCAGTAACGGGATAGAACACTTTGGTGATCAAACATTTAGCGCACTGATAGTCATTGCATCTTTTGTTGCATTCAGAGAATGTAGTGTGTATAGGCGAGGCATATATTTTGCAATGTGTCTTGCTTACAGTAAAGCTGCTCTTGTATCAATTCCTCTAGTCCCTTCCCTAGTTTGCATCTTGCTTTGTTCCCTGTTGTCCTTTTGAATAGTCATGTCTTTTCAGATACCTTCTCATAGTGTCTCTCTGCATGTATAAATGCTTGGCTGCCTTCAGGGATAAGTATTTTTAGTCAAAGAGAAGGGTCAGGATCAGAACGGCCATGATCAGACAATCTCCTTTGCATTCAAGGATGTCTGTTATATTCAGCTGAATTCGGCCAGTCATTCTGTTTCTGGTTACATATGTCTAAGGGCATTTCACATGTGATAACTTTCAGGGCATTTGGTGAAAAAGTCATGGAAACCTTAGATTGCGCTCTCTGTATCTTCTGTTATGTATTTATACAATGTCATGGTATAGTCTCCACATTCTTCTAAGTGTAGTTTAATGTGCAGATTGAAAGAAAAAGCATGTAGTTGTTTGTAGTCTAGTAATCTGAGTGTTTTGGAGGTATTCATACCATTATATTTCTAGGCATTAAATTAGAAATATTTTATGCGAAATTAGAATCAGTCCTTTTCATTCCATACTTGCTTTGATACATGAAAGACCCAAGATCAAAAGAAGGATTCTTATCAGTTTAGGGGTTTCTGCTTTTTTGGGGGTGTTCTTTTTATATGTAAGGTCAGCTGAGGCAGCTGAGCTGCCGGCTTCTGGCAAAAGTACTAATTCATGTGACTGATGAGACTGTCAGTATAGGTACTCACTGAAATGAAATGTGGTAGGTATTCTATAAATCTAAAAATGAGTATGTCCATTTCATTCTCATTGGTATTAGAACATTTTAAGACTGAAATGTACGTACTTTGTAAAAGAGACTCCCTTTTATAAATACTTCATTCTGCTTAGAGCATCAGCAAAAATTCTGAATTAAAATCAGTAAGCAGCATTTCTAATAAATTGTGTGTGAAAACAGTCCACTGGATGGGTAATGGAAACTTGGGTTCAGTGCTCCAGTCTTTTTGCTGAGTTGCTTCCAACGCTGTTTGTACTTAAATGGGCAGAATAGAGATTTTGTGATGGTGGTCATCAACTCCTCCAGATGCTTGATTCTTCTGTTGGGAATGGTGTTGGGGGTTTGTATGTGTGTGTGCACATTGGGATTTGAACTGCATCAAGTATTTTACTGAAAGCTTAACCTAACAGTATATAGTGCCGATACAAACAGAGCATTAGATGTGCCTGTCTTTAATACAGCCATCTGTTGAGTTGCTATAGCAGTTTTTCAAAAGCTTCCCTCAGCATAGACATCAAAGTCTATTCATGCACCTGTGCCTCTGATCTACTAATACTATTTTTTTTTTTTTACTTAAAAACTGCAAAGGGAGAGGAGTAATATTTAAAGATCAGTAGCTTTATTTAAAAACAAATTAAAAAAACACCCTAAAAAACTCCCCCACAAAACTCATGCTGCCAGTTCAGAAATTGTTAAAAAAGTCTTCACTTAATATTCAACACTTTATTTATGGAAAACCACTCAACCACGCTTTCATTATCCTCTCCTCTGAGTAACCCCTGGCCTTGCTAACACCTATTTCCTGCCTCGTCTGTTGACAATACAGCTGCTGAAATAATTTTCTTGATCTGTTGCTCCAATGACATCAGCCAGACCTGTGAAATCCTCTACTGGCTCACTCTTGAAGGGCACAGAAGCGTTTTTGTGAGAAGCTGGTTCATAGAGGGGGGGACCTTGTGTCACCTTGATGTATTCAGCAGCTGTGGTCCAAAAGAGGGAAACAGCAGAGGTGCCCCACTTATAAAGGTCCCCTCAGGTGATGAGAGAAACCTGGAAACAAAAAAGGTGGCCCCATGGAGCTGCCTGTTGAATGCAGACGGGAGAAGCATGGCACAGCCCAGACATCTTGGCGTCTCCTTCCTTTCTTCATTTACTTGATACTTTACAGATTCGTCTCCCAAGTTATTAGTGTGAATTGGTGATCTCCTGATTATCATCTTACTCTGGCCTGGTGCCATGCCCTGATGTCGCTCGTGACTTAGGAGGCAGCGCAGTAGCGTTTGTGTTAGCCCGGGGAGCTGACATGGGCGAAGCAAAGCCCACCTTCCTCTGCTGTGACAGGGCAGCCTGGCACAGGAGGAGGAGGGCGGTGGTGGGGTGGGAGGGGAGGTAGCCTGTTCCCAGTCACAAGCCCCGCATGCCGTTGCCTCAGTGTAGGAGAGGCATTGGGAAAGCTCTGGGGTGCCTGGTGTGGAGAGCAGGGCTTGGCCAGACTCCGTCGATGAGGCATGCTCCCTTCTTTTTGTCCTGCATCCATTTGGTCTGGCACCAGCAAGGACCCATAGTCCTGCTGCTTTTTCACTTGGGGGAGGAAGGGGCTTTTTGGGGCACATCTCCTTCCTGTTTTCTCACCTGCCCTGTGTTACCCTGGTTTGGTACGCAGCAGGCCTGATCTCACCAAGTCCTGTGTGGGTGTCAGGGCCCAGGGTGCACCAACAGGCCCCAATGTCCCTGCCCAGCCTCTGGGGCTGCCCCCACCGCCCAGCCCTGGGCCATGCCGAGCTGGGCCCACCTGCAGGCCCAGAGCCCGGCCTGCGCCTGGCCTGCTCCCATCCCCAGGGAGGTGCCCAATGCCCAGGGCTGGGGCTGCTCTGTTGCCTCCCTGACTGCTTGCTACTGTCTGGGGCCGTGGGACACAGGACAGGCCCTGGCAGACAAGGCCGTCGGAGGCACGTGGCAGTGGGCATGCAATTTTATCTGCATGCTTTACTTACTAAAACAGAATGAAAATACAGTATTAATGTATACCATGTCACTTCCTCAGTCTCTGAAATTCTGTGACAACTGGTATGTGACAGTAAGAGCTATTGATTAGGTAGTCCTTTAGTTACAGTTTGACTTTTGAGAGATGGGTGGCTGCAAAAACTGTAATATATGGGGCACCGTTTAAGATGCTGAAATCCAGCAGTATTTAGAGTTGCTGATGAAATGTGTGGTAAAATAAAGGAAAATTTGTATTAAGCTCTTCGTTGTGGTGCCTAAGGGTACAGGAACTTATTCCCACAGCCCATGTGAAATCTTGAAGTACAGCAGCTTGATACTGAGCACCTGTATTTCATGCTGAGTGGAAGTGATCTCCACAGAGCAAAGACTCCTTAAAATCTACCAGGATGGTGCAGAAACAAACAAATTTTGTATTTTGCATCCCCCCCCCCAAAAAAAAAAAAAAAAAAAAAGCAGATAAAGCATGTATTTCTTTCTCCCAGTGGGGATACAAAGGGAGTATTATAAACACGTGTTAACTGGCCGTACGAGCAGTGTGTGTTCATTTCCCCTGTTCTGTGACCAGAGCTGATCTGTCTCGCTGGGATCTGAATAGGTCACAGTCTTGCTTTTCACATTTGCATAGCTAGGCTCAGTATAAATTACAGTAAAGAAGTTATTTGATACTACCACTTTTTAACTTTCTTCCTTGTCTCCTTGGAAACAGTGGTGCAAATGTATGGCAGAACAGTGCATTAAATATATGATTTGTAAAATTCACTGGGTTCAAGCTTTCCAGGTGCTAAGGGCACACACTTGTTTTTTACTTCAGTGAAGGTGCAGAGTCCTCAACACCTCTTTGCAAAAGGAGGCTCTGTTGGTAGTGAACTGTAGACCTGTCCATGTGCCCTGCCTATACCTTGGCTTTGCAAGTTTTGGAAACTTCTTGTTTCCTGCATGTGCAGTAGCTTGCTTTGGGAGCCATTCTAAGTTTTCTTCTAATTCTCTTCTTGATTGCAGATTGACTTGGAGCCAGAAGGGAGAGTGTATGTCATCATAGACCTTTCAGGATCATCAGGTGAAGGTAGGGACTTCGAATATTTTGTCTTGTTCTTTCATGAATTAATCTTCCAAGGGCCTCTGAAATGGAAGTATTAGAGGAGGTGCTGTTCCAATAGCCTCTTAAATCTGTATGAGCTCAAGTTAAAGTGAACACGTTTTGATGTATCTGCCTGTGACTCAATGAGCAGTTGCAGTTCATCCTACCCTGTTAATGACTGATGGTAACAGTACCAGCTCAAAGGAGAGTAATGAAATGAGAAGAGTTTAGTAGTATTAACTTCCAGAAGAAACTTCCAAATTCTTATTTTTGGAAGAATGCTAACCATTATGTGGCTAGAAATGATAAGATGTCAAAGGGTGGGGGGAGAAAGAGTTTATTTGCTTTTTAAATTATTCTAACAGTTGGTGTTTTTCCACTGAATATTTTCTTTTTCAAGTAAAGTAATGACCAACACATTGTAATGATAAGAGGTGTTTTCATTTTTATGACACAGCAGTTACATGTTGTGGAAAAAAAAAGGAAGATGAAAGAGAAATATTTATTCAATTCTTAAGATATTTTTCTGCTGTTAAGTGGGAACAGAGTCAGGTGGTATATGGTGGGTATAAGAGAACTTATGAAGAAGCAAATCCATCTGTCTTAGTCATGCTCTCAATGACAGCCTGACTGGCTAAAATAGCTTAGATGGCTGGTTTAGGCTTGATTATTTTAAATCATGTCCACTGATCAGCCTTCCCTGGTAGCTCATAGAGCTCAGCTAAATGAGGTTATCGTTGGTTCACACTACATAAAGGAGATTCACATAAACCCTTACAGGAACTGAAACAGAAAGTGCTATGAAATGAAATGAAATTATTTTGCCTGGCACAGTTGAGAAACAGTAGAAGAACGCATTCATATTTCTGTTACTTGTAACGAATTGCTGTGCTCTGACCAATTACTAACAGTAGCTTGCAAAAACACAAATTGCTCCAATTCCTGAATTTTAAAAACGTAGCAAGCTGTTATTTAAACTTCATCTTATAGCCACATTTTGTACCCACATAAGATATGCTCTGCCTTTTTTTTCTTACTTCATTCTGAAGAAAATACCAGTGTAATAGTAGCTTCCACATATCTTGCTAATTGGCCTGTCAGTGATGGACATAAAATGTGGTTAAAGGCATTGGTGTTGTTCTGTCATAGGGCAGGTAGTTGTTCTTCCAACTTTCCATTGGTAGCTAATTGATACCCAGACGAACATAGTGTTACTGTTCTGTAACAGGATGCATTCAGCTGTGCCAGACTGTCAAAGAATAATGGTGTTATGTTGTTCTTCAGAAGTTCTTTAAAACTCTATAACCTTTTGTACAGGAAGAGGAAAAAATGGTGATGGCAGGGTCTCCTATATTATGTGGTGCATTACCCTGTGACACTTGAAAGGTGCTTGGAGAGAAATGTGCAGAACTAGAATTTGTGTTGCTTATATTAGCATTGAAAGGGAGCACTCAAATGGAAACAGGCCACTGAGGGAAAACTGCTTACAAAATGCTGTCTTATGGGAAGCCCTTGGGAAGACCAAGAGGCTTTAGTTAGTGTGAATTTGGTAGAACCCTGGAGAAGTTGATGTGCTTAAAAAATGCAGTGTAACTTTTACGGTTTTAGAGCTTTCCCATATAATTAAATAACCATGGAAAAGTGTTGTGTAGAAGTATTGCAAAATTCTCTAGGAAATTTATGGTTTCCCTCATGAGGGAAATTGGACAAGGTTTGTACAACAGTTGGTATACTGTTTTTTATGGTGTTTTGTTAACGATGTTATGAAATCCTATTTTTAGACTGCTTTATTAGGGCTGAGGCCTAGCTAATTTTGGATAAGTCTCCTCTCACTTCACTAAACTGTCTTAGCAAAGCACCTAGTTTAACCTAACAACTGTATGCATCCTTCTATAGTCAACAGAAACACTTAACCCACACAGGGAGTAACTTATTCTACATGTTTCAGAAATGCCTATTTCACTTAATCTGTCTATATATACATATATCAATATCTATGTAAATAGAAGACATCCGATCTGTATTTTATGCATTTCAATGGGGCAGGTCACTGTAGTTGATCTGTATTTGTTGACCATGAAAGGAGTGTAGGATTAAGGTTAAACTGCATGACTTTTGAATGGCGAGGGTTGGTTGAGGCGATTGCTACTCCTGACCTAATTTGTTAACCAGGATCTTGTTTTTGAACTCCAGTCTTCATTGTGAATAGCAACAGAGTACACAACACTCTTTTCATGCTGCACAAATGGGTATCACTATTTCACCTCAGATTCTAGAGGGGAAAAACTTGGCAATTTATGAAAATAAAATTGCCTGTAGCAACAGTTTCAATGGGAGGAAGCAATCACGTTGCATGTTTCTCAGTTAGCAGTATTTTAAAAAAAAGGCAATTAAAAAAATCTTAGCCACGGAGATGAAGTATATACTTGCCAACTGGTATTGTCTTGTAATTCTGTGTACTGAAAATTGGGTTTGTTTCTTCTGTGTGATATATTCAAGTTTCTAATTATCAGCAATCAATAATGTAATTTCAGTTATTTGGCACTTCTAAAAGATTAAGATAGATATACAAATTCTGTTTTGATATAATTGATTTAAGTTCAGTTGAATCCATTAATATGGGCAGAGAGCATTGTCCTCTATTAAATTGCCTCTAAGAGTCAAAAGTCCTAGTTTTGCAGGTGAGCCTTTAGGTGAATAAATTGCTATATAAATTGAAAGTTCACATATAAGATCCTAAATGGTGGATAAAGAAGACCCATTCTCATTAGTAGTATATTCTCAGTCAGTTTAGTAAGCTTTTATGTAATATTGACATAAGATGTTGTTAGTATATACCTCTTAAAACTCAATTGTACTCAACTGGGATGCTCCCAGATTGCTTATCCCTCTGCACTATTTGCACTTGCATGGCAAAACAACGCAAAACAATTTATTCCTCAACAAAAGTACACAATTTCTCTTCCTCCTTCCCCCTCCTCTAAAGTGAATCATCCATGGACTTTCATCATTTGTGTGGCAGATTACAAAGGAAGGTAGAGTACTTCTGCCTTTCCTTGGTCACATTGAGACAGACTTAGATACTAATATCAGCATCAGGCAGGTATTTTTATGTGGAACTGTAGAAAGAAGAGTTGAGTTGTTGGCTTTGCTACTGGCAATTTTTCTCCAATTCTGAAGACAACTACAAATCCATGGGAGGTTATAGAGCTGTGCCAGCTTCCCTGCCATTTCCTGTATTATGAAATTGCCTTCAGAAGCCAGCCAAAGGAGAAGCTCTACTGCAGCAACAGGGCACTTGTGAGGGGGCAGCCTGGAAAGCACAAGACTTAGTCTGCTCTTCACTGGATATTTTGTGGCACTGCCAGCTCTCACAGTAGATTGTTCAAATCTCAAGGTATTTGGGTTTGTTCTGAAAACTTAATTTTCTAGAACTTGCTCCCATTCAATTCTAGTCTTTGAAGCAGAAAAAGGTGGGGAAAAAACAAATGCTAAAGTCTGAGAAGTGGAAAGCAAGCTACCTAAAAAGGCCTTACAACAACAAACCCAACAGGAACATTTTTATCATCACCTTTTTTACACTAACCCTGTTTTGGAGCCCGCTTACAGCTTCTTGAATGTTTGTTCTGCAATGAGAGGGAGGGTGAGTAACTATTTATTTTAGCAATCTTTTGTAAATTCTGTAGTAGGAACTGTCTGGCCCACATACTGAAAAGAAATTGCTAAAATAACTGTTTGTCATGCAGAAGGGGGTGTTCTTAAAATTTAGGATTTAAATTTTTCTGCTAAAATTTGAACATCCCCAATATTGTGCTTTCAAAACCAGTCCTGCAAAATACTTCAGTATGCCTTTGCTGATGGGGACGTAGGAAGAGAGAGAGAAAGCAGCTCTTAAAATACATTTTTTTAAATTTTCCATTTTAAAGTATGTAACCGGTATTTCCGTAACACCTGTGATTCAGGTCTTTATGTTCTCTGTGCCAAAATTGATCTGTGGGGTTATTTACCTTCCTTGGATTTATTTTATTTTAAATGGCTCTGAGCATTCAGTGTAAATATGCATTTGTGTTTCCCATGAATGGAAACAGCTGTCTCAGTGGAAACTTCCCAAGTGGAGATGTACACTATGGTATCCGTTCACAGGCTAAAATAACTGCAACAGTTAATCAGTAAAGTTCTAATTACAAAAATATTTTTTTATAATTTTCATTCTGTTATTGAATTTTTAATGTGTTGACAAATAATAACTGCCCACTCAGAACTTCTAAAAACAAATACCTTTGGTCAAAGAAAAAAATTAAGCTTCTACGGACCTGACACAGTATCCGGTAGTATTACTTGGGATTTTTTGGTTAACTTCAATGAGCTACGTGCTGCGCCATATGCATGCACATAGGATCTTTAAAGAGTTTCTGATAACTTGCTTTTGGGACGCCAGTTCAAAATATGGGTGGTTGCTGTTACTCTGCCAGAATATTTTGTCAGACTTGCAAAGCATGTAATCAGTCAATTCTGCTATTAACCAAACCTCTGGTGGCTCCATTTTATATATGCAGTTATAGGAAAAACAAGGTTTATAGTAGACCAGTGTTTGTAAGAAGTAATTGGCTTGGGAAAGGTCTATCATATTTATTCTCTGTTACTTCACAAACTGGATCTAATGATTGCATGGGTTTTTGGTCTTGTATCTTCAACTTTGCCAGATCTATGGAGAAAGGTGTGTCTGTTTATCAGTCTTTGGATGGACAGGAGACTCTGTAAGACATACTGCCTTATTAATTTCTTCAGTGCTGCTTGTTGTCTGAGGTCATACTGATTTTCTATATTAATTCAGTGTTGTAGCGTATGCATTATTTCTAGGCTGAAGTGCACTCATTGACTGGGTTATTGACATGCTTTGGCAGTATTTTTTGATCTATTTTAGTGCCTATAGAATTTTGTGAGTGAATTTTTTTGAATGATTTCAGAACTATAAGAGCGCTGGT